GGCTTTCCAAAGCCGTGGGGGAAGCCGGCAGGGGGGCAGCCCAGGCGCGCCTGGGCTGCTCCACTGCCAGAGCCTCTCCGCAGCATTGCTCCGCGTCTTCCTGGTTTGCAGACCAGGGAGACGCGGAGCAGCTTTTCTTGCCCGGGAGTACACGGGCGGCAGGACCGCGCGGTCCCGCAGTCCGTTTTCGTAACTGCGGATCCGACGTAAGTCGGATCCGCGTAAGTCGGGGACTGCCTGTAATGTTTGTCAAGTACTTTGAACGCCTTACGTGGAAGATGTAATAGAAACACCTTATCATATGCCACTATTACCACCTAATACTGAAGCAAAGAAGATATAGGAAGAAGAATTTGGTTTGTGTTGTTATGCATTGTATGCTTTCTGATATATTCCATTCTAACCTATTCTGAGCAGATCTCTGCTACATCGAACGGGATACTGGAACTGAAAATAATAGCCTTTTTAAATTAAAGCACATGTTTGCCTCGTTCAGTTTCCTACAGGGGAGATGTTGCAATTCTTGCTGGCATACAGGTTTCCAGAAGTCATTGTATTAGTTGTCTGAAAGTTTTGCCTTCAAGTTGTTCCTGTTTCTCTGGTAACTTAGGATCTGGTCTTCAAAAGTAGTTAGGTACCTAACCTCCACTGGTTTCAGTGCAAGTCAGTCACAAATATATTTGAGGATCTGGATCTTACTATGTAAATAATTTCCTATGGTCATTTAAAAAAAGAAAGTCATTATGTGTCCTCTTCAGAGGGGCTATTTAGAGCTGCCAGTTAAATGTCCACAATTGTCATTAAAAATGAGTTGCTCATGTAAGGGAAAACTCCTCCCTGTGACACCAGCACAAAGCATACCCAGTAAAATCCCCCTGAAGTAGTGCATTGGCCTTATCTGGCTCTGTGTACAGGGTGAATTCCTCCCAGACCTTATCTATTGTTTGTGCACATGTGTGCAATCAAATCTGCGGAGTTAAACAGCGCATAACTTATGAAGCAGCCCCAGAAAGACAACATGGAGATGTTCTGTTACATGCAATCTCTCCAATTGTGCTGATGATCATTATCCGGTAATCCGAAGGGGCAAAAAAGCGACAGTAACACGGGCTGTGGCTTTCCTCTGAGTCATCCCCGAACTCCTTCACTGCTATGGTCTGCAAACTGCAGACCATGTCCCGCTCCAGTAATTCAGCACTAGCCAAGATGACACCATAATAAGCAAAAGATATTCCAAGCCTGGGGGGAAAGAAAACCAACACGGGCAAGATGAAATAATCACAGATTCATGGAACTGTAGAGGAGTACAACTCACCAGGAATTAAACGCCCAGTGACAATCTTAAAGCAAAACAGGTAAATAACACTTAGCATTTGGAAATCTTAAGTCCAGGGAGAGCCCAGCAGTTATTTGTATAGCCACAGCAAACTGGTTGTCGGGAATGTGTTACACAATTTCAGTTGTCATATAAGTGCTCCTCTTTCTCAAAAGAGGAGGCCCAGTTCTTTACTGGAGTATTGTTATTATTTAGTTGTACTAGAATTCCCCCTAATGGCTCAGAACCCCATTGTTCTAGGTGCTGTACAAACAGGGACAAAAAAGACAGTCCCGGTTCAAAAGGACTTAAGTCCAATTAACGCTGGGGGGAAGTGGCAGTGACTTTTCCCATCTGTAAAATGGGCATAAATCTCTCACGGGGTGAAATTCAAAGCCAGAACAGGGTCAATGTTTCACTTAAGCTCTGCTTTGATGTCCTATGGAATAGAAGTTATGTGGTACATAGTCTTCTGTTCAGACTCCATGCATTAGGAGAGGAATTACCACCACTACCTTCTTCCATGTGAAGTTCGCAGAACACCTATGGCAGCACTGAACCCTTAGTGTTCTTAAAAAGTCTTTGACGTTGGGCTTGCTATACCGAAGTATAAAATATAAAGCCAAGCTCCTGGTCCCTTGTGGCCTTTAAAGTTCCCATGATACTTTTCACATGGATGGAGGCCTATAGACAGGTGGGGGCAAAGCAGCTGTAGCAGCCAACGCCCTGGTCCTTTTAAATTGCTGCCGGAGCACTGTGGTGCGTGTTCAGGACAGGGATGAGGGGGCTGTGTGCTCCGGGCTGTGTGCTCCAGACAGTGTGGAAAGCTGGCTGCCCTCAGCTCCACCCTTTCTGGGAACACAGAGCCAGCTCCCCCCCCCAAGAGTCCTCAGGCTGTTGGTTCTGCCATGTGGAGGGTTAGCTTTGAACCTCAGGCCAAATGCCTGTCTGCATAATTGTCAAAGCCTTGCGGTTTCAATTAGAGTTTTCCTCTCATATCATGCTGTACGCTGCTAAACAGTTGCCATGTTCTGCACCAGAGGTGAGTGCATGATGAGTGTAAGTTATCACTATATTACTCTTACCTACCTTTTAATGTTTACCAGCTGTTTGAGACCCATTGATGAAAGGAGACATGGTATTATTTACAAGTTAGTGGAGATGGCCCTAACAGTGTGTCTCAATACATGCTTGTGCAGAGACATTTTTGAAACATTCTCTCCCGGGGCAATCTACTCACTCAATATTTATAAGCAAACCCCTGCTAGCAAAACCTAGGACCATTTCATTCTCCATTCTGTTCAATGATTTTTAAAATCAATTTAGCACTGTCTGGGGGGCGTAGGGAGGGGGAACGTGACTCATATAGCATCTCTGTCTAGAGCAGAGAGAATGCTAAGTAGACAGAAGACAGAAAAGTAATCTATGGAGAACATAAGCTGATTTATACATGTGGCAAACGATAGAAAAACTGTATTTTGCCAAATTAGAAAAATCACAAAAGACTCTGAAACTAACATGCCAAGGTTCTGGGTTACCGAGCTTCCACAGACCCATTACCTGTACATTGCAGTCCTAAGTTGCAGTGTTGTAGCAGTGGTGGTCCCAAGATCCAAGCGAGACAGGTGGGAAAGGCACTATCTTTTATTGGAGCAACTCCTGTTGGTTCAAACTGCACCAAAGTCGGTCCAATAAAAGGTGTGACCTCACCCATCTTGTCTCATTATAATTCTAAACAGTGGTGCCCTTAAAATATATATTGATCTATATGAGGTCAATTATAATAGGTCATTTTCATTGTTAGTTCATTTTTAATTGTCCAAAGCCAATAGAATGAAGAAGAGCTAACAGCATTCTGTCTGAAACCTATTTCACTGGTACTTTAGCTGTACTATAGCCAGGTAGCATTGGTTCTCATGTTGGGAAACGCAATGGTGAGAGAGCAATATTAAAACCAATTCAGATGGGCCATCCTATCCCAGATACACTGCAGGTCACTCAGTCTGGGCCAACTCACTTTAGAGTCAATGGGAGACTTTTTTCATCAGGTTCCTACCCCCGTGTCAAATGAAATAATTATGTTATAAATAACACATTTACCATATGATCCATATTTGCAAAGTAGTTCGTAAGTATTTGGGATCCAATAGGTCTCTGAATCTACCTCTTCTTTCCTGCAAATTATTGAATAGAAAGCACAAGGTTAGAAAAGTATCTTCTCATGGACTAATTTTCTGCTGCTACCACATATTTACACACATGAACGTGTTTGCTGAGCTAAAAGGCAGACATACAACGTGCTGTAGAAGCACACAGATGGACTGGAAAGCAGGCCTACTGACAGGAATTCTGGGCTCCAGTGCAGAACAGTCAATGGACACCCCCCCCCCCCCCCCCCGCCCCCACAAACCCCACCCTCC